ACTCAGACAGAAAGGCTAAGATCAAAATACCTGTTGAAAAGACTTATTCTTATGTCTCTCCCAATTTCAAAGAGAAATTCAAATATTCCACAAAGCTAAGACAAAAAAATTCAGTATTCATTCATTTCCATATGAAACTATGACTGCTGTTACATTTTGGTATGCAAAAGAGGTCTCAGAACGGGGTAAGGAGAGGGAATGTCAGTACTGAAAGGGCCTTAGAGCTGCTTTGCAACACTGCACTTACACAGCAGAGAGCTCAAGGACTGGCTGACCTTGGGTACAGTTACTGGCCAGTTGTTCCTCAAGGAAAGGGCATTACATTGCTTGCACCTAATAAGTGAGGCAAACACTTAACAACAGGTATGGAAAATACCTGCTTCTTTTTTTCTCATTCCATTACCTGTTTACAAGATTAATTAAAAATATTAATAAGTAACATTAAGTCTCGATGTTTGAACATGAAGTTTATGAATTCTGAGTACTGGCATATTAGTTAATGTCTGTGGTTCACAGTAACATATATGATACACAGAACTCGATTTATATGGCTGAGTTTTGAATTGTGGGAATTTCTGTCTGTAACTGAGAGCTGGGAATGGGAAAGGAACAACTATGACTTATAAAGCAACAGGCTTTCTAAGTTCTGCTTTTTGATGACTAAGTAAGCGTTCAAAGGTTAAGAGAGATTTGGAATGAGATCTCTGCCAGTCAGAGCACGGGACGCGGAGCAGAGGCAGCTCTTTGAACAGGGCTGGTGCTGCGGGGGCACAACTTTGCGAAAGTTCGCACTGAAAGTAGAGATTGCCACCTCCTGGCAGAACCCAGGGCAGCGCCGGGGACTCGCAGAGACATCCAGGCTCGACCGAAATTACGTATGGAGACCTTATAAACGCCTCAACCACAGAGGCAAACTTCAAACCAGAGCTCTTAAATAGCAAAGCTAATCACTGATGGATCATCTGGAGGAAATCAAGCTACGTTAGAGTAGTGCCTCCTACTTTAACAGAGAGACTAGGCAGCATTATCTTGTGCTAATTCCTTTCCATACTGTTGAGAACAAATACTCAAGGAAATACTTCCTTGTTTTCTTGCTGAAACAAACCAGTCTATTCCAACAAGACATGCAGTGTATACACGACTAGAAACATGTAAAAATATAAACCCTAAAATATAAATTTTGGTATTCTCATTTCCTTTTTATTTTCCCTTCCCCCCTGCCCCGATTTTGGATTTTTTTCATTCAGGGTTGAATTGAAAGCAAAATGTCACGTCAAAAGGAACGTCCTGTGAGGAGTGGCTGAGGACTCAGGGCTTGTCTGGTTTGGAGAAAAGGAGGCTGAGGGGTGACCTCATTGCTCTCTGCAGCTTCCTGAGCAGGGAAGACCGAGAGGGAGATGCCGATCTCTTCTCCCTGGTATTCAGTGACAGGAACATGTGGGAATGGCTCAAAGCTGGGCCAGGGGAGGTTCAGACTGGACATTAGCCAGCATTTCTTTAGCAAGAGGCTTCCCAGAGTGGTGGTCAATGCCAAAAGCCTGTCAGGGTTTAAATGGCCTTTGGACAGTGCCCTAAACATGTTTAAAAACTTTTATTCAGCCCTAACTGGTAAGACAGTTGGAGAACAGGTTTTTTGTTGGTTCCTTCCAACTGTAGTATTCTATTCTATTCAAAACTGTATATTAAGCAAAACCAGGAGCTTCTGAATTGTCAGAAAATAATTTATTATTGTGAAAAAAAAAAAATGTTGCTGCAATAATGCTCAAATTGAAAAGAACTTTTCCGTGCTGCAGGCACAAGCATATATACTGAACCTGCTGGTCTCTCACTGCTAACTTGTATTCATGACTTCTAAACAAGTTACTTACTTTATAAGTACATTATTTTGTACAGGTATGTATTGGCCATTCAGTCAACTACTCTCTTGCACCCTTCTGCCCTCTGTCCTAGCCAACAGATTATCACTCACTAAAGAAGCTGTTGAAATTTGTCTGAGAGATGCCACTTTGCAGCAAGTGGCACACAAATCTCAAACTGGCTATTATACGTGTTTTTGATGAGGGCATAAGAATTCTGCCTGCTTCAGACTCTTGCCAAAATGGGTAAGTCACACACCAATGCACAAAGGGGTTTGTTGTACCAGTGAATTTAGGGCTGAGGAAAGTTGGAGGAGTTCAGTGGATTGCTGCCTATCTCTTCTTACAGAGAATGTAGGAACACTTCCCTCAACAACAAATTTAAGTTTTCTGGATATTGAAGGGAATGTGCCCCTTTGTATAAATGTTGGAGAGCTTCTTTCACTAAAGACGAGGTTCAAATATATGTAGCTATTGAGTTACACAGGTGTCCTCAATGGAAGACTTTGACACAGCATCTTGGAGAAGACACAAGGAGAAAAACCTAAGAGAACTGTCATCTGCAAAAAAAAATGTGGAGACCATTGCTACAGACTGGAAGAAATGGAATGTTATGGTCCTTGTTTGGGAAATAAAGCCACTAGATTGAAAAAATCAACATAACTAAGCCTGTATATCAGCAGAAGAAATAAATATTGGCAATATACCTGCAAACACTTTTGGTAGAGACGGTAGTGTGCCTGAACTGTTTAAAGTTTGTTATCTAAGTCAAACTGCAGGAACTGTGAAAAGAGGGCTAAATGAGAAAGCACAAGGAAATAAACAATTGGAAACTTTTAATGAGTTTTGCAGTCCTTTAAAAAACATGAAAGACCGCTGGAGATTTACAAATGTACAAAGGCAAGATAGAAAAGGAAATCAGGTGCATGTTAGTGGAGATAAGAACAGCATGCAGCCAAATAGCAAATACTTAAAGAAAATTTTCACCTCATTATGTTTAAATCTCCAACAGAAACTTTGCTCTTTTACACTATCACAATATGAAGGCTAAAATTGTGCTTAGAGACTTTAAATAGATCATGACTCCCTAGCAATTTTAATTAGGATGCTTCTGTTTATACAAATGTGTCTTTGAGGAGCTCATATGAAGAATAAAATAAGCCTAGACGAATATAAGGAATAATTTTGGTACCATAACTTAAGTTTTCTTTGTCTGCCCAGGAGCAAAAGGACCTAAAAATGCATAAAATTAATATTTTTAAATTAGCAAAATCCCTGTTAATTTAAAACACTATTTGCATTCTCCTATCTTGCTCATATGCTAGTGCAAATAGACATCTTAAATAGCATAGACACAGAGTAGTACCTCAACAGAATGTAATTGTGAGAAGCAAATTCTAGCTGCAGTTAAACAGGAGTTTAAAAAGAGGGTGTGGGGGAAGGGAAGAAAGGGAGGGAGGGAGGGAGGGAGGGAGGGAGGGAGGGAGGGAGGGAGGGAGGGAGGGAGGGAGGGAGGGAGGGAGGGAGGGAGGGAGGAAGGGAGGGAGGGAGGAAGGGAGGGAGGAAGGGAGGGCACTCTTTGATATTTTGTGACAGGATGTGAATCTTTAGATTAGCTTCATAGACAAAACAGATATTGGAGGCCCTCCCTTCCCTATTCACACTGCCTGGTTTAATAGCAGAGGAGTAATCTATCCCAGGAGAATCTATAAATATTTTCACCTGTCCCAGGGTTTTGGATTACTTGTCTAATAAATTATTTTAATCCTTCCCTCAGGCAAAGTGAGAAATTTGGCATATGACAAATCTGTCCTTCCCTCCTCTGCTACATAAAGGTAAAATCCCACTCTGATTTACATGCAGTACTCTACCACCACAACTAATGAAATCATATCAGGAAAAGTCAAGGCATACTGCTACAGATGTTTTTCAGGAATGGTAGATTTCACAAACTTGCACTATTACCAGCTTTTATTGAGTTCTGAAAGTTCATGTATCTTTCTCCTGACTCCCTTTCAAGATGCTTTATTTCAGGCTTGAAAAGAAGAAAGTTCTGTTATGCTGCATAGAATTTTCATTTATGGGGTTGATCATACTTTTTATAATCTTTTCTCTTTAGACTCTTCAACAAGAGGTAAATCACAATTTTGGCTAAAACAAGCATGTACAGAAGGATATTTTAATTAGAAATAAAATAAAATAAAATAAAATAAAATAAAATAAAATAAAATAAAATAAAATAAAATAAAATAAAATAAAATAAAATAAAATAAAATAAAATAAAATAAAATAAAATAAATAAAATCCAAATTTTGCCAGGGAGATCTTTGTATCAGTTCTTAAATAAAACTGACATTAACAATCACTCAGTAATCAAAGTTGAAAAAAACACCTTCCAAGCTCATACCAGGAGAGGCACAAAACCAGGATATAGAGAGCTACTCTATTCATATGAATAGACAAATTTTGGGACAATCTAACAGACTAATTTGGAGGCAGCAGTTCTAAGAAGTGCCTTTCCTCTTTAGCTTTCTCAATGGCTACACAGCTTCATGTTCTTGCTCCTTTTTACTTTTCGAAATCAAGAAAGGAAGACTAAAGTATTCTGGTCTAATGTGGGCAATTGCTCATTCTGTCTCCATGGAGGAAGAGTTGGAAGCTAGTGCATTTGTCATTAATGGACCAAAGTAAATACAATCAAAACTCTGGAAAATTTCAGACTGTTTTCTCACAAGAGAAATCAAACAGTCCTGGGAAAGGAATTCAGACTTATGGAGAGTCAAAGAAACAAGTTTTCATCTGTTCTCAACACCCAGAATAAGAAAACTGTCACCACTTTAGATAGCTTCCCTTGATGCCAGCTGCCCTGGCAGGACTAGAATATATTGTTATCAGTGATAAACACTCCAAAACACCCCACTACATGTACCACCTGAGGGCAACAGAGCAGTCTGAGGTCCAGTAAGAGTTGTCCTTGTTTCTCAGGTTAGACACCTCAGCTACCAGGCTCTGAACCTGACACACATGTTTTCAGCAAGCCAAAACCCACCCTGTCCCCCTACAGCATGCAGCAGCATTCCCTTCTCCCTACCAAAGCACCCCCATTTTGAATCCAAAATATGTCTACTGAAGTGCAATGCTGCTCTCTTAAGAATTCCTTTTATTAAACAAGTTCTATGACATTAACAAAGCCAGTCAGGTGATGATCACCAACACATGGCAATAAAGACAACAGGACAAAGTATATAAAGTAGTATATATATCACCTGTTTGTGATACCCAAGGCACAGAAAAGGCTGCACACAGAGCAGTTCTGCCCTCTCCTCTCAGAAGGGGCTACAGCCAAGCTGGCTGGGTCCAGCATCACTGTGACAGCAGAGCTATTTCAGCCACCCATCCTCCTTCCAGCCAGCATGTCCATAAAACAGGAAAAAAGGCTCTTGCAAAGTTGCCTTCTTCCTTTACAGCCTCACTAGCTCCTTTTTACTGAGCAAAAATGTATTTTAACTAATCCCATTGCTGAAGCGAACATAACACTTCTCCATTTCAGGAAGGTTTAAAACCTTGCTAAGAGCAAATAAAAGCTAAAATCCCAAGACATTCAGGAGAATAAATTTTAAAAATTCTCTCTTCCTAGTGTACAATCAAAATTGGGATGCGTGAATGTTGGGGCTTAGCATTGGTAATACTGTTAATACTTTTTCTTGACTTTCCATTCTCCTCTGGTTAAACAAATTAAATAGGAAACCTTGCATTTCTCACACTCCCCAGCGTGAGTCTGGGATTGTTTCCCCTTGTCTGACTCCTATATCAGTTCCTATTCAGAAAGCAGCTGGTCTCTGAATAGATTCAGAGCTGGTTATCTCCACACACAATATATCATAGTCGATCCAGGCTTCAATTATTTTTTGTCCCCAGGAAACAATTATTTCACTATTTGTCAGTTGTTCTCCAACCCCTGCCCCATAACTTTTGAAACGGTTGGCCAATTTTAATGAAACTTGGCAAAATCACAAATCTTAAAGACATTAAAGTCGTATCATCTTTGTGCAAATCAATAGGTGAGGAAAGATTTTGAGCAAAAAATTTTTTTTTTATTTCTGCTGTTTCACTGAAGATTTTTTCCCTCACATTTTCCACATTCTTCAGAACAAGTCCCAAGGGCTGTCCTTGAAGTGCAATAGTTTGGGGGTACTCCTCTGGGTAGGCAGTAAATCTCAGCTCCCATTCAGACACTCCATCTGGATTTACAGTGGTGTCAGCTTCAAGTGGGCAACACAGTCCTTCCTCTCTGCCCCTGTGCAGAGAGACAAGCAAGGATGCCAGGCATGTGCTGGGGCACCCAGCGGGACTGGCAGCAGGCTGGCAATGGGTGTGCCTTGACTGCAGCTGAGGCACTGCCTCAATCTGCAGGCAGAGCCAGCAGGGTGGGGTTTCACCCGTGACACCTTCACACCTTCCACACACCCCACCCCACCAGTGACTTCAGACAGCGTCCTCTTAATGCTCAGCAGCACCAGGAACCAAGCATGGGAGGTAGGTCAATGGCAGCAAAATGACCCACCTCCTTCCCTGCCTCCACCCCACCTCTCCTAAAAGAATGCTGTTGATATGTGACTCACCATTCCTATTCCTCCAGACTTTTGGCACCCCCAACACAAGAGAACAAAACAAAAGTCCAAATTTTTTTTGTTGTTGTTATTTTCCTAAATAACACTTTAAAAATTTTCCACAGAATATACTATTTTTGCACTAGATACAATAACTCTCATTTTTACTGGAGGATTACAACCAAGGTTGCAGAAATGATGGCATGAGCAATTTTGAGCACCCTATTATTTAGTAACAAAGTCCTGCTTTGATCCATCTCCCTGCTGACTTCAATGGAACTACACCAGGTATAAATTAAAGCAAAATTCAGTCCATCAGCTCTACTTTAAGCTTCATGCATTCCATTTAAGCAATGCCTCCACCTTGATTTCACCTTGTAGTCAGCAAAGAATGCTGATATAAAATGTGTCATGCTTTTGTGTATCCACTGACTCTGCTTTCATGTTTAAGCTGTACCATTTTACCTCACCATTAATATTACATTTCGGCAAAAGTGAAAGAGTGTAGAAAGAATGTCTAATCTCTTGTGCTCTCTATGGAGTACAAGTTTCCATTAAGTTTTCTCTGTACATTAAGTTTTCTCTCTGTACACCAATAGCAAAAACATGTATTTTCCAGTCAAAAACAAACACCAAAGTAAAAACTCTATTAAAAGGAGCACAGTAACTCCTTCTAACATTTTTCACCAGAATGGAGAAATAAAGTGGTAATTCTCCAGCATTCAGGAACCTACATTTAAAAAAAGAAAAAAAAAGAAAAAAAAAAAAAAAAAAAAAAAAAAAGGGGTAAAAAAAGATACACTGAGATCATCGATCACATTAGCAGGAATTAGACGTCAAATTTCCTAGATGCCAACAACAATCCAAACAATGTTACATCCATTAGTCATTGTTTGCTTGTGAAGAGGTAAGAAAGCTGTCATGTGCCTGTCCCTCCTCCCACTGCCATGAGAGTGAACAGCACAAACGTTGCATCACCAGTCACAGCCACGGCCACGGCCACACCGCTTTCTTCTCACAGGCAGGTCAAGGCTCCATCTGCCCTTGAAGATTCCTTTCTTGGTTACAACAACAACAGCAACAACAAAATCAAGTAATGTTGTGTATTAAAGCTATTTGTGACAGTAATCTTTTTTTGCTCTCAAATGTCACCCTCTAAACAGGCTCTATTCATCTCACAAAACTTGGGCATCCAGAAACTCAATTTCTTGGCATTGACAGAGACATAAAATAAGAAAAATGGAGAAGAGGCATAGCTGTATCTTCAAAATAATGTACTTTAAAAAGCATTATGTGCAAGATTGGTGTCACACTGAAGTTCTGAAATTGGAAAAAATAATCCTAACTTTTCAGATAAAGTTATACTCAGAGCTGTAACTTTAAATGGTTCTACCATGTTAGGCTACATAAAATGAGTTAATGTCTCTGCATATCAATAAAAAGTATTAAAAAATCCAGGTTGATGAAATGTGACTTAGAAGACTTCACTTTTTCTCAAACTTTAATCAGGCAATCTTCCCAGCAAATACAAGCAGTTATATCACTACTAAACATGAAAACTTCAGTATTTTTACAAAGCACTTCACTCTGTCTATTTAACTTGCCAATTTGAGGAGCCACCAAATGTCCATCTCTGCTGAACTTAAGCATCACTAACAATTATCCTGGTCAGTTCCAGTGGGAGAACCAGGGTCACATGGTAGTTTTAGTTTTGCTCTCTTTAGAAGTGACCAAACAGTTTTTGAGGTGTCAGTGCAAGGTCATGACAGCCTACTCCAAATAAAAACTTTCCTTTCATCACTTAAAAACATGTTGTCTAGTCACTGTTTTCATGCACTTGCCAAAGGCTTGCGTGTAGAAAACACAACAGGCAGCCTCCCACTGAAGCAAAATACATTTGCTGTTCTACAGATAATTCACTTAAGCCACATGCTTCACATTTTATACAGGGACTACTTGCCAGCCAAATAAAAGCTATAAATACATGTATATACCTGTTTGAACAGATAAAAACATGACTGACACCTGGAAGGAAACATGGTTAGAAGCCAGAAAGAGCACTTCAAGCATGCACTACTAAATAGTTTATCCAAATGTTCTTATTTACATACCTAAAAAAACGATTACAGAATCATATCCTCCATTTATGGTAGTCCAATAACATTTTATGTACTGCAACTATTCCCATGGAAGGATATGGACATCATTCCAGTCACATCACAGCTGAAGGTACAGTCCGTGCCTTGGCTACATTTCAGTCCTGCAACTACAGCATTTCACGCTGCAGCTTAGCTAAAGCCACATATGCTGTTATTGATGAAGCATAAAACCTCAGCAATGCTGGCACCGTTTCTCTGCTGCTCCAAAATACAGCGGACTAGATTATGATTACTAGTGCCGCTCCTAGGCATAATTTTGCTTTTTATTAGAAAAATCCTGTAACAGCAAGCACCAGAAAATCTGAGGCTTTCTCTAACTAGAGACAATCATAAAAGTATACTGTTTATGCACAGGGAGAAGCAAAAATTAAATATGCATCAGGCAATGCACATTCATACAACAAATCAATTCACCACCCAGTTCTAGGGTTTATTGTGCCATAATAAACAACATAGCAATAAGCCACACAATAAAAGATAATAAACCTCAGAGAATGGATGGTAACACAGATGGTGCAAGCCACAGACATGTTACTACATATGCAGAGGAAGAAGTGAGCAATTCATGCAGGACAGATCTCTTGTTGGTGTTGGGCAGCTTTAGAGCTTTTACTACCCAAGAATCTGCTCAGGCATTTCAGTTATTCCTGTTGAAAAGTCTTTATTTTTACTACAAAACTCAAAATGTTACTAAAGAGCTCCCCTTTCTGTGTACCCCTGTCTGTAAAAGACTGCAGTGGTTAAAGAGGAACAGCACCTTTGTATGCTCAGTACCAACAGCAGTACTTTATCTTCGCACAGCACAGAATTTTGCAACAGCGTTCATCACAGAAGAAGGGCATCTCCTATCACTACCAAATTTGTTCAGATTAATCCATGCAAAGTGAAGGACTTTTACCTTCTTTTTTTACTTTCTTAATCCAGCTGTCACCTGGATTTTACATACTTCATAAATTTAGATTCATTACCAGCATACACAGCATGAACAAAGTTTTTGAGGAAAAAACTACACAAAGTGCTTCACTGACAAAAAAAAAAAAAAAAACCCACAAAAAAAAAAAACAAAAAAAAAAAAAAAAAAAACCAGAAAATATCAACAAACCTGTCAAGTTCAGTCATAATTTTTAACAATTATGGTATGAACTGACCTCAAGAGAGTTTAAGTCTATGAACACTGATAGAATCAGTTGGGCACGTTGGCCACTCTGAATTTGATGCCTGTGGTAGGCATGCATAGAATAAGATTTCTGCATCATTGTCTAAAAAAGTAAAAGTGAGCTATTGCCAGTGCTTTATGTTTACTTATGCTACTACAAGTAAAAGTATTTCAAAATTCATCACAGTACTTTATTCCTATTTCTGCTTCAGGTGAAAATCATGACATTTGTGCCCCTAGTTAGACAAAAATGAGACAAAATCTGAGATAAAAATATGTCAATTTGAAATCACAAGTTGAGCGGCTTGCTGACGTGACAGCAATGGCCAAAATGGATCTGCCCAGCCTCAGAGTTGTTCTCATATTCAGGGACAAAAAGGAAGCCTAGAGCTAGAAAGAGAAAAAAGTACCTTCCCAGTCCCCAGTGCCCACAGAGCAGGCATTCTGAGCCACAAACACCTTCCCTGATACTTGTGACTTGTACTTTCATGTACTTCTCCAGCCTGCAGCCATGTAACAATTTGTTCCCACAATATCATATACATCTCATTTCTGCCTGTCTCATATATTAGTATTTCCTCAGCAATTCAAATACTGCTTGAGGTTTAGGAACTGCATCTGGAACTACATCTGCTGTCTACTTTATTTAGAAGACATTAGGAAACTTGCTGAGACGTCTTGTATTAAAAATATGTCAAAAATATTTAATAGTTAGAATGTCCTAAAAGAGAATGCAAAAGCAATTTTAGTCATAACCAGTTTGTAAACATATATAGCAGGGGCTACAGGTTAAATTGTATCACACAGCACCAGGTCCAGTTGCCTCAAACAATTCCAGGGACAGTAGCTCCATCACTTTGCTGGGCAACCCACTGCAATGCCTGACCACCCAAACAGTGAAAAATATGTTTTCTAATATCTAATCTGAATCTTCCTTGCCTCAGCACATTGGACAGTTGTGACTGTAACACTGACATATGAAAAACACGGGCCAAGAAGGTAACCAGGAAACAAAAAATGGGTTGAAGAAATTTCTTTTACAAGAGCGCATGAGAATGCACTGATAGGTAAAGGTGGCAAGCTTAAATTCGAGTATTTTAAGAATCATCTTCCAGCCGCTTCCTCCAGGGGCGCGGCGACAGCGGCCGCTGAGGCCGCACGGGGCGGCAGCGGAGGCAGCGCCCGTTATCAGCCAGGAGCAGCCCCGAGACGTCCCGAGCGGCGCGACCGCGACTCCGATGGCGATCCCGGCCCCGGCCGCGACCCCGATGCGCTTCCGCCGCCGGTGACCCCGCGGCGCCGCCCCGCCCCTGCGGGAGGAAGCGCGCGCGCCGGCCGCACGGCGATGGCGGCGGGCGCAGGAAGGGGCGGGCCGCAGGGCGGGGCCGCGCGGCGCTGCCGGGAGCGCAGCAGCGGCGCGGGGCGGCGGGGGACAGCGGCGCGCCCGCGGTGCCCGCAGCGCCCGGCGGCGGCCGCGCCGCGCGGGGGGCCGTGTGCGCGGCGGGCGGAGGCCAAGCGGCGCCGCGGCCGCTCCTCTCCTCTCCTCTCCCCCCCTCAGCCCGGTGGATCGGGGTCGCGCCGGCCCGGGGGCCGCGAGCGGCTCCGCCCCCTCCGCCCCTGTGCAGGGCCCGCGGCGGCTGCGCGCGGCCCCGCCAGTGCTCGTCCCGCGCCGATGGCGCCGCTCTCGGCGGCGGCGCCTCCGCCTCCCCCCTTCGCCGCTTCCTCCCGCCGTCCCCTTCCGCTTCCGGGGCCAGCGCCGCCGCTGCTCGCTGAGCAGCCCCGTCCCGGGGCCCGGCCGGCACCGCCGGCAGCAGCCGCCGCCCCGCCGCCCCCATGGCCACCAACCCCCAGCCCCCGCCGCCCCCGCCGCCGCCCCCTCAGCAGCCGCCGCCGCTGCCGGGGGCCGGGGCCGGCGCGGGGGGCGGCGCGGCCGAGCCCGAGCTGGTCTCCATGATCGTTAACCACCTCAAGAGCCAGGGGCTCTTCGACCAGTTCCGCCGCGACTGCTTGGCCGACGTGGACACCAAGGTGCGGGCGGGCGGGAGCGGAGGCTCGGGGGATCCCAGCGCCCCGGGCTCCGGGCGGTCGGGACGGGCCCGGGCGGGGGCAGTGCGCCGGGCGGTGCGGAGCGGCCGCCGTGCCCGCGCGGGAGCGGCTCCGCTCGCGGCCGGGGAGCGAAGCCGGAGCCCGCGTTCGGCCGGAGCGCGGCTGGCCGGCCGGGCACGCACGGTCACACACGCCCGGTTCGCGCAGGGCCCGGCGGGGCAGCGTTTAACGCGCTGCCGCAGGGCAGCGGCTGCGCCTGCGGAGCACCGGGGCTTCCGACGGGGCTCCTTGCTGTAGCAGACTGGCCTCCGGGAGGATAACCAGCCACTTACATGATCCTTCCCGTCCAACCTCTGTGCTGTTGCTTTCTAGCCTGCCTACCAGAATTTGAGACAGCGCGTTGACAACTTTGTTTCCAACCATTTGGCAACTCATACTTGGAGTCCTCATCTCAACAAGAACCAGCTGAGAAATAATATTAGACAGCAGGTTCTCAAGTAAGTGACAGCTCTGGGGTTGCTCTGAACATGCTTGTGTACTGTGATAGGTGACAAAGGGTCTGGGTCAATGTAAAGTGGGTTGCTTTCTTAAGAGAAACGTCTGAAGAAGTTGGGTTGTTTTCCCCTCTCAGTGTTTAAAATAGAATACTATTGGGGGTAGTAACTTGCCCTCAGTATTAGTCAGAATTAGACTGCAGATGTTCTTTGATCTGATCCTAGTTTATGCAGGGGTGGAAAACTCGATTTTGACTTGAGATGTAACTCCTTAGCTAAATGCTATCTTTGCTTTTTCTTTTAAGGGAGCTGTTAATAAAATTGCAGTTATCATTTTTAGAGCTAAGGAGAAACGTTCCACAGACTAAACTCTGCAGAGTATAAAGCTGAAGTCACAAAATAGAAAAATGTATTTAAATCTAGCTGGACAGAGAAGAGGTTTTAAGAACTGGTGTTATTGTTAAAATTTTGTCAGACACTTTAACCTGATATGACATTATTTCATGAAGGTTCCTCTGGACTCTCTTTTCAAATCTTATACTAATGAGAAACATTAGGAAATTTCTTCAAAGTACCATGAGTTTGGCCATTAAATTGGGTCAAACCATGGATTTGGGGACAAACTTAATGAGTTGTACTCTGGTGGTACCATTGATAACTTGTACTGAGGACTGTTTGGTTTGTAGGGAAGGAAGCAACTGTTCTTTCTTGTTCAAAAAGCAATGACGACAAGAGGTGTCATATGTCCCACAAAAGACTACAGGGGTCTAAAAAGATAAGTTTTATAGCTGTGGATTTTCTTTTTTATTTTACTGAAGGCTAAATGTGTTTTATAAAGCTGCAGAACTTGCCTCATAATACTGGGCAGAAAGTAACTTAGGGTAGTGATGAGTGGTTTAGTAGTTATTTATGCCTCATACCATCTGTAATTCATCTCTTTTTTGCTATAGTAATTCCTAATACAAAGTTTCTTCTAAATTTTTTTCAAAAATACTGTTTTTGCAGTTTGATGACACTTGTAACCACTAATGATGTAACAACAGGCTGCTTGTTGTATTAATTCCATGTGCTTGGATTGTTTTGTTTCTCTAGCACATTTTTTCTTACGGGTAAGGCACTGGCTAAGTGCATAGCTGTGGAAATGCCCAGGAAACATTGGTGCTTCATTGGAGCACATCTAAATGATCATATTTTATTAATATGTTCTTAAAAACTATTTTTTCATACTAATTTATGTAACTTTGTTCCAGGTCTGGAATGTTGGAATCGGGAATTGACAGAATTATTTCTCAGGTTGTGGACCCAAAGATCAACCACACATTCAGACCTCAGGTGGAAAAAGCTGTCCATGAATTTTTAGCCACATTGAATCACAAAGAGGAGGCAGGCCCCAGTACGTCTCCAAGTGAGGAGAAAGCAGATGCTTCTGTTACAGTACAAGGTATTCTACCATTTCTCTGAGTAGTATATTTACAAAAGAATGGTGTTTAAGAGAGCAGAATCATTTACTAGGTTTTGTGCTACCATAATACTGTTAGTATCAGTATTAGCAAGCTGAGCTCCAGGCAGCATGCCAGAACACTTGTCTCTTACTCTATGTTTAAATGTAGAAGGCAAAAGAGATGTCACGGTGTGACCATTTCACTCTTTCACTTCTGCTTGAGATTATGAGGGATCAGCCTTTTGTGGGGAGAAAAGTTGGTCTCAGTATTATAGGATCAGATAAGACATAGATGTGTAAGAGAACAATGATGCAACTTTTTTTGTCCATCAGTAGAAATGAAAGAATTATTTAAGAGACAGTTCCCTGTGCAGTTGCTGTGTGTCATAAAATTTGGATGGCTAAGGTCCTAATATTACCTGTATCAACTCCTAAACACTCCTGCAGGTAATTGTCCATTCTTTCCTGTTCTAAGAGACTCCACAGCCATCCATCTCTTTGTAACCTTTATTTAAATCCAAGCCTTTATCCTGTGAGGCCCACTTCCTTTAAAATGGGTTAATAAGCCAGCTGCAGTTCTCAGTGCTACTCTGCCTAATGCTTTGTCTTCAAAGCTTGTTCTAAAATGATAAGTGATAAGGTATTTCTGGTAGTCTTGTTATATAGTCAGTATGCTGAGTTGATTTTCTGTGGCATTTATGGAGGTATTAGAGGTGTGAGCTACCAACTTTCTCTTGCAGTGTATATACATATATATACGTAGAATATGTATTATGTACGTAGTATTTTAGCCAGAGTCGTCATCTGAATTAGGATGTTGGTAAAGTTGAACAAGGCTGTGTTCAGATGTCACTCCCATTGACAATCCTCACTTTCTGTAGGCAGAGCTCAGGAACAGTGGTGTGTCACAGAGCAAAATGGATCTCTGGTAATCGTACAGTGCTTGCTGCCTGAACACATCTTGGAGATTTTTGTTCGGTTTTTTTTTTTTTTTTTTTTTTTTTTTAGCCAAAATCTCTCTAGGCAAAATTAGTCAAATATTTTAGTTAGGTATGTGTATTTTGTAGAGTGCTTATTCTTCACACATTTAACCTTCTGTTGGAACAGAATTATAGAAACTAGGGTTAAGTAAAACTCTGTTCTTTCTTACTATTCAAGGTGTCTCTGCTGCAACTCCAAGTGCTAATGTAGCTAGTGATGCAATGTCCATTTTGGAAACAATAACTTCTCTTAATCAAGAAGCTAGTGCTGCCAGGGCTTCAACAGAGACCTCAAATCCCAAGAACAATGACAAAGTTGCAAAAAAACTCTCATCTCAGCAGAGTGTGGATGGTGGCACTGATAAAGAAAGAAATGCAGAGGACTTGCCAGACAAAGAAAAGGCAGTTTGTGACCTTTCTGGAGAAGGGGCTGAAACACTTGCAAAGTGTGAAGATTTAAATGAGCTTCCCTGCCAAAGTGAAGAAATAAAAAATTCAGCAAAGGATACTAATACGTTTACAAGTAAAGATATTCCACAGGAAAGTGAAGATGTAAAGAGTAAATTATTGGATAAATTTGACAAGAAACCAGAGAGCAGTGAAAAAAGTGAAAGAAGAAAAGAAAAGAAGGAAAAACTTGACAAGAAATCTGATCATTCAAAGAAAAGTGATGATACTACAAAGTCAAAAGATGAAAAGCAAGCAAAAGAGTCAGAACCAGTGAAGCACTTAGTTCCAGAAAAAAATAGCAATAAACATAAAACAGCTGAAAGCACTAAAGAAGGTATGGTGTGGGCAATGCTCTTCCTGAAAATATAGATGAGGAGTGATGTTCTTAAGTTAATTCAGAAATTGAATCAGTATATTTGGAATGTAAGTTTTCTGCTAGTTCTGGCAAACTGGTCTGCTAATGACAATTGGATTTCCTCCATCTCTCTTAACTGAGGTACCTGAATTAGGAGTCAGATGACCTTTCATTTCTCAGGTGTGTGATTGGTCATCTTAATCTGGCAGGTTCTCTCAACAGTTTCAATCCTCATTTAAAGTTCATAGTTCTACCTCAGAGTGATTTTTATTTTGAATAAACCAGAGTTAGCCTGGTTATTTAATTACAGTGTTATGATTTTGTTTTCTTATTTCTAATTCTTAACATAGTTTTGTTTTCAGTAACAAAATTTATGTTTTGGTAGGAGAAGTTTAACAAACTCGGTATGCTGCCTTACAGCTCTTTGTTTTTACTTTTTCCTTTGCAAGAAAATATGTTAATAGATTCAGATATGGATGTACTCAGTGACATCACAGTCAGCTCTGTCCATACCAGTGACCTTTCTTCCTTTGAAGAGGAGAGTGAAGAGGAGCCTGTAATTTCTGACAGTACTGAAGAGGGGGAGATCACATCAGGTGGTAAAATAATTACATTGTTAACTGGGAATAAAGAGTATGTAATGCTTTTGTTGAGTGTACCATGTCGT